AGAAAGGGCATATACAACACAATTATTATATATTATTCAGGTGTCCCAGTCCTCAAAAATGCTAATTTATGCAAAGTACTTGGTTTCACATATGTTGGAGATGTGAGGTCAGGAGGATAGAGGAGGAGAAGAAAAAGAAAAAAAAATCTCAAAGGAAGAAACTAGGATTGTTAATTGTTTTGGTTGGAGATCATTATCTTTCCTGCTTCCTTTCTTACCCAATAGGTGGGGTCATCTCTTGTTAGCTGGTATCTCAGCCCTTAGGATCATGGAGGTAACCATGGTGGGAAAGCCTTTCCTGGTGCAGGACACTTGGAAGTGAGGTGTGGCACCCACCAGTCCCTGCAGGGAGACTGCACCTTAAGGGTCTCTTTTGGGGTCCGCTCTTATGACTTGAATGCCCAGTCCTATTTCCCCATCTTGCCTAAAGATTTCCCATTTTCTGGTCTCTCTATTAGTTTCCACACTTTTGAAAGGTCTCCCTCTCTCTTAACATTTCCCAATTAAGAGACCTATCTCACCTGGGCTTCCATGGGCAGCACCTTCTATGCACTGCACACCTGTCCCACTGAGAGCTGTTTTGTGTTGGGCAGTTATTGTGCCAGGTTACCAGCCACTGGGAAGAGAGGCGAGTTGGAAACCAGGTACCTGGCCAGCTGGAGTTCCAATCTGGGAACTGCCCCCACCAAAGATGGTGAGGAAGGTGACCCAAGATGGAGATGGACCACTTCCAGCGCTGGAGTGTCAGGTAGGGGGAGCCAGGCAGTGGTGTTGTGCGTTGTGTTCAGAGATGAGCTCTGTGGCATGCAGTATTGCGGCTTTGGCTGTCTTCAGAGCTTTTGAGATGTCCCCAGGTGGAGGCAGTCTTCTGTGCATAGAGGATTATGACAGTAGCTGCAAGTTTGTAAAACGCAGTTGGCTTGGGGAAGCCTTATGTTGGTAGATGGGATTCCACACAGGAGTGGCAGCTGGAGTTTCTGTGGGTGGGTAGCAGATGAGTGTCCTGCATGGGAACAGATTGGGGTCTGGGAGTTCTGCAGTAGTGGTGATGTGGTGATCCTACTTAGGCACTTTAACCCTGTGTGGGCTAGAACTTTGTGAGCTGGGTGTCAGGCCTGGGGAGTCCTGCTCTGATGCTGAGGCCATGATTTCTGTGAGAGAGCAGCTATGTAGGGGTCCTCTATGACACTCAGACAAGCAGTATTCCTACTAGTTGAGACCCAGGTCCCAGAGCTACACAGAATGCTGCCTCCTTCTGGCCCACCATCTTGAATCCCTCCCATGTACCCCTCTTAATCATTAGGTCTTGTCAGTTTTATGCCTTAATAACATCTGGAATCCCATTGTTAATTTTTGTCTTATAGCCAGGTCACAACCATGTGCTGCATGGATCAATGAAACCAATTGTCACTGATTTGTTTGTTTCTATTCTAGTTAGGACCCTTTTATGCAGAATAAAAATCCGATTTCATAATTTAATCCTTTCCATATACCAGTTTTTAGAAACATTATCCACATAACATATACTGTATCTTAACAAAGAAATTACAAATACATCCTCTCATGTGCATTAGGAACCTAGTATTTTCTTAGTTTATCTTTAATCAAAACTATTTGGATTACAGAATTCCAAACACCAACATCAAATAAAAATGAAAAAAAAATGGACTGGTCTCTTATTAATAACAGGACTGTATTTTTCTTGATTTGTCTATAAAGAATTAGACTGCAATCACCAAAAGATCAGAACCATGTCATTTCAAATTTGCTTCCCCAGTTATTAATATAGTCTTGGTATATAGATAGAAAACAATATAGTTGAACACAAAGCAATTAATAAGTACTCAGTAAATTATATTCTTCTAAGTTGCAAATGAAGAAAATGTCTAATAAGGAGAGGGACATACAATAAATGCCACTTCAAATGGATTCTCTAAAGACTTTGGACACTGAAAAATGTCAAGCAAATAGATAAACAAAGCACAATCATCTTCCTTAAAGGGAAAAGTATATGCAGAATTCCCTGCATTCAAGGTATGACCAAGCAGAGGGTAGTAAATCCTGCCATCAGAGGAGAAAAATAAGGCTAAGTTAGAAGAGAAGAAAAAATTCATTCAAATTAGGGAAGTAGACATAACAACTATAGAAAACACAATGTTGGAAAAGAAGGCAGTATACTTGATTAAAGGTCCTCAGCAGAAACACTATAGGAATAGCAGGTTAGATAAATGGGATGTACCAGAATACAAAACAAATAAGGTTGGGTAACTATGTACAAATTAATTTGTAAGCAATTTCTGGTTAACTCTTATCATTTCAAACTCTCACTCTAACCTTTGATTTTTAAAATCAATAGTGAGTATATATGTACTTACATGTGGGTATATATATATATATATATATATATATATATTCATTCTCAATTTTAGTATATGAATATAAATTGCATAATAGTGGATATATACACATACATATATAAATAATGAATATATATGCATGCATACATATACATATATAATAATTCCAATATATAGTGCTTGTATGTATATGTATGGTATGCACATATATGCAGGTAGCTACAGGAATAAAAACTTGTTTATATTACAAATCTCTTAGAGAAAATTATATAATTTGGGGGCTATTTCATCTTGTTCCATATGTGAGATGAAATTTGTGTTTTTAGATGTGTTACACAAATTTGGAGGGAAAAACATTCAGATGCCCTCTAAAATAGGGCTGAAAACTGTAAAACCAAACAAGAATAGATGAGATTGATCAGAAATCATGAAAAAGAAAAATATATATATTTTTAATATTTACATAATAATAATTCTACGAGATGAGCAACAAGGAAACAGAAACACAGGGTAATGATCTGTTGTGGCTATCAAACAACTTAAAGGGACAAATAAAATTAGTCTTCTCTGAAGGTTTCCCTGACTTTAGGGTGGAAATGCAGCCCAGTGGTGGAGGCCTTACCTAGGTAGAACTTAGCTTTTGTATGTAGAGATAAAAAAAAAAAAAAAATCATTTCATGACTGAGAAGCTATTTTTTAATACACCTCCACAACACATTTTATTATTAAAGATTTTAAAATATATCACCTGTGAAGTGCTTGTATAGAGATTAAGGCCCAAACATACATAAAATATAATTTCTGTCACCACTAAAAAGATAAAGAATATGGTAAAACATAAACCCCAGACAAGCTTTTAATGCAATGCTATAATATAAGATACTCTCTAGTACATTAACTTGGATTTATTGAATTTAATCTTAAATAATTGGATTTTTCCTGTTACTGGTTTTTGAGAAATGAGCAATCTCCAAACCAGGCTCATTTAAATCCTTACTTTTGTTTTCCATGGTAAGCCAAAAGAAACAATATATATTTATTTACTTCAATGATGGAAAAAAACATTTATTCCTAGAAAATCAGTTAAAGGCATAATCAGTAATATTCTTCACACATTGAGGGTCATAAATAGCCCAGTTTTAATACTGGGCTTAAGAAAATATATTTTAAATGGAAACAAATTAATATACCCCCAGAATTACAAAGCTGTTTTTCCCAATAATTAGGTGTGAGGAGCCTCAAATTCACCTCCTGCCTTAGACTGAAACAGGAGGAGGAGTCATGGTGTGGCTTCCTGCTGGGTGGATGATATTGTGTGGTAACTATGCATTTGATCATTTGCAAGGGATTTACCCAGGATTTTTCATGAAAAACATAATGCAAAATAGCATTATCTAGTTTTCTTATCTGAGTTAAGTAAGCAAATTCTTTGAAGCTAGAGTTTTTAGAGAAAGGGACAGAAAAAATAAAGTAGAAACCTATTGACTTCAAAAATTTTAGAGTTCTTTCAGTATAAAATGAGATGAAAGATGATAACAGAATGGAATAGAAATACTTATTTTTTAAAAGATTTTACAGAATAATATATTAATACCTCATGATAAGATTAGATAGAATAAATTTGTATAGGTATACATTGACTAGTAATATATAAAAACACAATGTTAGAAAGCAAATAATCTTCTAATAAAGCAAACAAACATTACTTATTTCTATCTCTCTATCTCTACACTATAAATTTCATTTATCTCCTTCAATTCACATACAGGCTATTTCAGAAATGAGAATTAAGAAAACACCATGTGCAACACGTCACTCAGTATTGGCATCAGTGGTCCTTGGGTGGTTCAGGGATTGCATCAGAAGTCAGACTGATACAATGGCACTCCTTTAATAACAAGTGATACAAGATCAGGGAGACAACTCCTTCAAAGATATTGCTTAAAACAAAACTCCTCTGTCCAGCAGGAATTCCAGGCTGTCTGGATTTATTCACATGTAAAACTCAGTAGGCTGGGTATCTCAAGATGGAAATGGGCAGCAGTGAAATGTTCTCTTTCTGTCTACAGTAGTGCAATGGGGAGGTTAGAGAAAGGATTACTTAAATTTATTGTTCCCAAACTTGGTTGAAATTAAAATTCCCTGGAACTGTTAAGAATTACTTGTGGCTAGTGTTCTGCTCAAAACTATCTGAAAAAAAAAATAGGACTGGGGTCAGACCCTACGTATCAGGATTTTTAAAAAATTCTCACGTGCAGTCACTGTCGAGAGCTGTGGACTTACCCTATAATAGAATATTTATGTCAGAGTGATATGTATACTCCCAAAGACAGCGTCAAATCTGTTTTGTTTATTTTAATACAATATAAGATACTTCTTTTAACTCATTTAAAATTATTTTTGTTGCTTTCATTGTTTTAATTTTAAAATTATTTGGACCTGCCTAACATACAGGCTCTCTGAACAAAATCTGTCTTCCAATCCTCTCCTTGTGATTACAGAGACCTTAAAACTGGTTACAATCTTCCATATACCTCCTAAACTTTAAATAAACTGAATATCTTACTCAGGCTCACTCTGTTGATGTACTTTAAAGACAGTCCAGTACTTGACATTACTTTTCAAAGCTCTGATAAAACGTACCTTGCTTTTTGTCTTTTCATCTGGAATCTTAGCAGCAATTGTCCTAGTTGGAAATAACATCTGAGCTGGATTTGTTGTGATTAGACTCAAAGGTGGAGGTTGATCACGGAAAACTGATGTCAAACAAAGCTGTACAGTCTCTTTCATTGCTTTCATCTGTGACTCCTAAAAACAGAAGAGAGAGGGGCATTAGCATTTTCACATATGGCTTTGGTCATAATATTCCACTTCCATTCTTCTAGCCTACATTTACTTCCCACACAAACATATATCCCAACTTATAGGTTCATTATCCCAATTTATAGGTTCCATTATGACATTCTTTGTCATTCATGTTCAGTCTATTTCTAAGAGATAATGTGTTTAGTGACATATTTTCAACACCAAAATTCAGATTGCATTTTATTTTTCCTCTTGAATTGTCATGATTTCAATCATGATAGATTCCTAAGAAGGAAATATACTCAAGTTATTCTGAAATTAGATGCCCTTTTTAGATACATGTCATCTTTCTATTGACATCAATCCTCTTTATTAAGAATTGCTTCCCTAACAATGCAGGATACTGTGTTTCTCAGAATACCTAAAATGTGTTCTATTTTAGGTATTCTGAGAAATTTCCCATATAATGGGAAAAAAATGTCTCTGATAGAACTCTCATTTCTTCTGAACTTTGTTTGGCAATAGAAATTAATCTGATGGGCTAATATTACCTGTGTCTTATATTAGCATATCAAAATATTCCACATCCTTTCATATACAAGAAATAGTTTTATGCTTTGAAGCGTCTATATAAATGACACTATTATTACTATTTTACATGGAAGAAAAGAAGATTCAATGCTTTCACACAGGACGATTTCTGGTTTGAAAACAAGGGAGACTGATTAAGATAGATGACCATCTGTAACTCCTATCTATCCAAACCATCAATTATTTAAAAATAGTTTTAAAATGTCAGGATTAATAAAAGTCTGAACACAAATAATAGAAAGATCCCCAGTTACTAAACTGAAGATATATAAATATTTTAGAAAAAAAAATGAATGGGCTATTCTTATAGTAACTAAAAAGTAATTTGGGGCATGACCAGATAAATTGGTGTCATATGTATATCCATTTAGAAGCACTGAAGGGTGCCTTTGGACTATGAGAGAGGAGACAGATTAGTCACTGGAACCAAAACCCAAAGACTAGCTGGTGCAAGTGGAGTTACCCTTTTAGCACACACATAGATCATTGCAGAAACAAGGTCTGTGTTCTCAGATATGACAAGCTCTCAGCGCATTCTTTAATGTTATATACCATGCCAGGTATATATATATATATATTTATATAGCACCCTCTCCTATTTCCTGTTTCTTACTATAAAGCCCTGTTGGTCAATTTCTGGACAGTTGACTTAGATCCTTTCTGAAGCTTGCCATTTTGCTTTTTGTTAATATTTATTTTAAGATGAGAGTGCTTACTGATAGAATAGCAATTCAAAATCACTCTTTAGGCCATGACAAGAAATTAAAAACAACATGACAGCAGTGGCAGTAATATAAGCAACTGACCATGTAGTCGAAATAGAACATGCATGAATTTCCTTTTCATTACTTGTGCTCCGTCAAGTTGTCTCAGATGAAATAAAATTTATTAAGGGGCAACCTCTATCAGGGGCCCCTCTTGCCTCTTGGAGAGTTCTGTTTCTATTTTTTACACTTGAATAAATTCTGTTCCTTTCAAATCTTGTTTCCATTGCCTGTGAATTTCATTCTTCAGATTTATAAGACAATCTGAAAGATTTGAACTTATTAAGGACTAGGATGGAGGAGTATGAACTGGGCATGGAGGGAGGGACTGAGCTGAATGATGGCAATGATGAATTCAACTGTTTTATTCAAATTGATCCCTTTTTATAATTACTCTAATACCGAGATTCTTGCCTCTCTTCACCCCACTATTTTCCACAACTGATTTTGTTTCCTTTCTTCATAGAGTTTCTCAATAATTGTGATATTTAAGTATATGCACTCTTGTATATGTTTGACAGAACTCAGCATAATCCCTGATACTACAGGGTCTCAAAAACATCTTGAATAAACAACTTAAAAGTTACTTGAAAGTAGTGTTTCTGTACATCAGAGAGGAAAATTTACAAGTTATTTTCAAAAAACAAGTGGAAAAGGAGTTATAATCAGATTTTCTGATCTACTTGTTCTTTGCTGCAATCTCAACTGACCCTTTTCTTCTCTAGGGACATACTAGGAGACCATGGCATTGAATGCCGTGACAGGAGCTAAATAATGTACATAGCTGTGAGCAATTTAAATATATTTTCTCCTTTGCATGCTAACACGAGACAGGGAAAAAGAAAAAAAAATGACTGCATCAGACATATCTTGACCAAGAACCAAAGCTTTTATGGCTTTGAAATGTTGAGTTTGAATGCTTAACCATGCAGGAAGCAATGATGTTTGTTGTGCTCACTGTACTCATATTTTGTTTTCTCGTAGCACTATTTATTTAAAACTTTGGTCTATGGAAGTTTTAAAGTATATGCTGACATAATATACAATTCTCTAAAGGTGAGCAATGGTGGAACTCAGTTGCTAAAAATAATGAATAGTATCAACTGATTCAAACATTGATCGTTAGTAAATGTTGTTTAAGCAAAACAAAAATTTTAAAGGAACATTGAAAGGGATGCACATATATATTAAATTTGGGTGCCTAAATATTGGTGCACTCATCTATTTCCACAGGTCTCTTGACCTTGCCAGGATAACCCCAGGTTAGCAGTGTAAACATTATAAAATGTGCTCTCCACCTCTTCCTTTTTCTATTATTCTGGGAAGCTAGCTTTCCTTCATATTTTAACCTATTCTTAGTGTTTTGCCTACTAGTTTTATTTCCTTGGGTCACAAGGCTGCATCAAGACCTTTCATCTGGAATTTCATACAATTTCTTGAATGTGTTGCAGGATTTTCTGCCAAAGATTATGGATTGCTGCAAGCAAGCTGCCCTGATTTGACCACTTTCTATATGACCCCTAATCAGTGCCTCTTAATGTTTAACAGGGCCTGTTGTTGATATTACTCATATTTGGCTCGATGGGGTTCCATGAACAGGACCCAACAATTTTACAATACATATAAAATTTATTGCATTTTCATTTATACTGCTAACTGAAATCTGTCTTAAAGCTGTAGGCTACTGCTCACTTTGAAATTTCGCTACAACAGGATGTCCCTTAATGCACTGTGATGTACCTCATATATAGTGTACTTTTCCCTAGATCCTAAAACCTATTCTCTTCCAAAGTTAATCTTGTTTATGCTGTCTTTGCCCTCACTGCATCAAACCACTTTTCTATATGCTATTATGATGCAAATTTCTTAACTATACCCCTCTGCTTGTCTTGGTATCCTTTGTTTATAGCCCCTCAAATATCCCCAGCTGCAGATGCCTTACCCAAAGGTCCACTTTGGAATTTTTACTGAAAATGCTCACACACTTAACTCACAGTTTATCTTTTAGGAAACAGATCTTGAGTACCCTTTCTAAGAATGTGCCTTCCTTTAAGCCACTATTACCTTTCCTAATATTATGTCTTTCTTAGCCTTTACATCATTTCAATTTATTTTCTTGCATATGTGTTTATGAGATCATCAAGTTTTGAAATATAATGCATTATCTTTGAGATTTGGAAGCTTTTCTGCAGCATCAGTTTTCAACTGAACAAATATTTGTAATTAAAAAAAGTAAAGAAAATCCTTCAGAATGTAGAGGCTAATGCCCTATTACATGAGGAAATAACGAAATATTTCTATTTTATCCAGCACATTGGGTAATACAATCATATTATTATCACAGATATTAAAAATACTTATATGTGTACTATATCCTATGGAAAGTTCATAAGAAATAACTGTTATATGTGATTTTATGATGGTGAGAAACTTAAAAAGTAATATTTCATGTGAATATATATTAGTGCTTTTCTCCTAAAAATGCATTTTCTTTGGGGACAATGAAATATATCCTAGAAATATAATGCTTCTCCTAATATCTCATCTCAGAGTAAGGACAATTTACAACTATTCATGGTCATCTTAACTCTTGTACATAAAAACACTATCTCAGAAAGATCAGGGTGTAATATCAGCTGCTGGCTTCAGAAAGACCATGAAGAGTTGAAACTTTATTTCCTCAACTTTATTTCTGACACAAATCAACTCTACAATCCCAGGAGTACTCAAAATATTTGGATCTGTACACTAGTAGTCCCCAAATCCCTTGGACAATACTATGAAAACATCTTTATTTATTTGGTAAGTTATGTCTTCATTTATGTATTCAAATAATAACAATTTCTTGTAATTTGGCTATAAGTCAAATACTATGCTTTTGCAAAAAGATTTCTCCTTTTGACAACTTTGTCCTGAGAATCTAGGTAAATCTTATCTGCATTAATGTATGATTTCCTATGTAAAATTTTCTGAGACTCAGATGCTATACAAAATTTTTTTGGTATGAAAGGTTGAGGGATTTTTATACCTTATGGCCATTTTTATATTCCAGTTGTGAAAGCTGACCATAGTTCATAAGATATTGCCAAATAAATAATTGATTGTTTGGAACCTCAAGGTTGATTTTTAGATTTTGAGTTTATTGCTGCTTATATTAGAATAGTAATCTGAGACTTTTTTTTTTTTTTTTTACTATATATGTCAGGAGGACCAAGTTGGAGTTTGAATGTTTTTATAATATTTTTGAGGTATTTAATTAAAGCCAAGATATACCATTTTTAGGAGCTAGACACCTGAATAATATAAAAAGTCTCATATAAAGATGATGGAGAGAGGTGAAGAGCAATTTCATTAAACTGGTTTTTATCCATTTTGAAATAAGCAACATTTCTATTTGACTTTATGACTGCTGTTTATGTGCCTCATACATACCTTACATGAGGTGTGTGGAACTCAACATCTAATATGAAACACTTTTATAGTTCACTATAAAAGGAGTGACTCAATCCTAATGGTTAAGGGGGAAATTGTTTTAACAGAGAGGCAGGCTCTGTGAGCTCATTCATTAATAATAATAATGACTGTTTTGCATGTGACAGGTATTATTCAAAGCACTTTACTTTTCTAATGCATAAAAATCTCCCATCACCTTTATAAAGTACTTTGTATTATTGATCCCAGAGAAATTTAAAGAGTTTGAGGGATTTGAACATGGTAATTCAGCAAAAAAAAAAAAAAAAAAAATGTTTTAGTTTGAAGATAGGAAGAAAGATTCTGGGAATCATTATTTAAGCAATACAACATGCAAACTCCCATCTTAAATCCAGACTGTGGCATGGTATGGGCTGGGTACATAAATGCATATGTAAGAGAATGAAATTGGGAAGGAGGAAAAAACATACATAAAGATGAAGAAGCAACTCTACCTTAACCCTGGGTTTAATGACACAGGCTCAATTATAATGTACCAGTGAAGGGTTTTGTGACTATATCATTGTAAGTGACCAATTATACTTACATTTTCTGTGATTCTATTGTCTTATGACTCAGTATATAATTATTTACTAATTGTTTATGCTCAGGAAATTATGACACATGTGGGAGTCAAAATCAGATATCAAATATTTTCTATTTCCCATAATACCTAGCACAAGAAAAAACATTACAATGCTATTAATTTATTAATTTATGAAAAGCTTCTGTGAAATCTAATCAGGAAAAAAATGTAGTATCAGTTTGATCCAATAACTAGATATGATAAAAACTAACAGAATGTCAAGATCATAAGAATTCAATGTGTTTTAGGACGTAAAACGTATTATAAAGACGGTGGTAGAAATGACAGAGAAAGGTATTTTTTAAAAATTTTTGTTTTAAGTTGGTCTACTTGAACTTTAAGTTTATATGTCGCCTCTGAATTTCTGATTTCACTAATTCTATAGTTTCAAATGCCTTTTTACAAGTAATGTTATGTAGCATGAGTTGGATATGGTCAGAGATTAGTCTGTATGAGTGTACACTTCTTTTCTATGAGCTAACACAATGCTTTACAAAACTAGAGTTTTCATAAATCATATTTTATCTTTTCCACAGAATACCAGACTCCCCTAAAATTATTAATTATTTAGGTAAATTTATTTAAAATACAGCAATAATAAGAAAGTTAGGTTGTTAAGATAACAAATTACTCATTCAAATGTTTATTGATCCCAGAGTTCTAAGCCTTATAAAGGAATATCATTAGCACTCACAAATACTCTTAGTAGCCCCTCTAAAGGACACTGCCCAGATATCCTGTTTGACAATTTGGCTATCTTAGCTGTGATAGCCATCATAGTTTGGTCATACCATACTGAGGCAATGAATAAAGTCCCTGAGAAGTGGAGTCTTAGCCTGGTCTTTCAAAACCACTGCATAGTAACAGGTGGCTGATGAAAGACATCAACAGAGCTCAAGGTAAAACCAGATTTAAATATTCCATCTTCTTTCTATTTTCTAGCCAGTTTGTTATTAGGAGGCACATTCCTTTCTTTGAAAAATTACAATAATACACTGTGTATAAATAAATATATTGTATATATTTTTTATAAGTGCATTAATTTTTCTTGCTTAATTTTCTCAATAAAAAGACTACTAATCTGTAATCACAAAATAGAACGCTCTTGAAAACAGAACACAGTTTCTTAAAATTTAAAAAATTATTTTGCTGACTCTACAGAACAAACTAACAAATATCAAGGGAATAGAATTCCTAATTAAATGTTTAAAAAATATTGCATTAATTATATAATTTATATGCGCTACATACAATATTTTACATAATTTTATGACACAAAAATTGTAACATATACATAAATGTAATATACACATATGTTGCATACCTCAAATGTACATCCCCTCCATATATAACACATGTATGTAATATATAAAACATACATGCATGCATCTGTATGTATTAAATATTATTTTTCTTTATCCATTCATTTATTCAAAGTCAAAACATTTGAGATTGAAAAGTGCTTCTTGCAAGCATCCCTAGTATAATTTTACTCAGTCTTTTCCCAAAGGTGATGACTTCTATGAATTTGATGTATATCTTGTCCTTTAAACTGATTTTATGATACACAATAGTTTACATATAGTTCATGTATTTGTATGATTGTTAAATACTGTACATATAATGCTGAAAAATTTCACTCAACATTATATGTTGTATGTGAATCAATGTTGATACAAATATATTGTTGGTTTATTCATTAAGTTTATATTTTGCCTTCAAAATATCATTATAGAAAATATATGAACTTTGTACATTAATTCTACTAAAAATAAGTAATTAAATTACTCCCACTTTTTAATATGAACATTGATGCATTTAATGTGCTTGTGCATATTCCCCAGTACATAAATTCTAAGACCTACACATTTAAAAACTAGTTATAACAATTGAATTTCAATGACTATTTCTGTTTGCTTCACAACTCATTCATCCAGAGTTAATGCTTAACATCTTAGTTGGTGCTATAAAGTATGTTTATTCATGGTGTTACATAACAAATGTAGGAATAAGTTAAAAATTGAAGCCATGAACTCACAGAGCCTGAAACTTTAGTAAATACATTGTAGCAGCAAAAATAAGGAAAAAAATTGGAGTCCATAGAGACTATCACATATTCATGAATTCTATAACTGTCTTATATACAGAGCATCTGGAACAGAATTAATAAATCAAAGAAAGCAATGAGCATACTATAGCATTTTTTTTTTTTTCAAAAAGCAAAGTGTGATGGCTCATAGACGTAAACTTACCCTGTCAAGAGCTGCTTTCTCTAGTTCATTTTTGGCTACAGCTAATTTTTGTTCCAGATCAGTAAGCTGTTGGGCCTGTAACATAAAAGAAAAGCAAGTCTTTTCAGTAAATTCTAAAATCTCTCAGCCTATTTTAAGTATCTGTCATTCGTTTCCAATGAATAAAATATAGAAAAGAAAAAAATCACTTTATAAATTTCATTTACAAATTCAGGTTTAAAACATAATTTTGCAAGGTCATTTGATCTGCATGCAAAAAGTGAAATATTCTGAATGAATATGCACTAAATGTTTCACTGGACTAAAGCATATGTTTCCAAAATTTCAACTTAAGTCTTTGAAATATTGTGATTTGATCTATCAATTATGTTTCCACTTCTTAGGACTGAAATGTATCCCCCTGAAAATTTCCTATGTTGATTGAAATTCTCACCCCAAATATGACTACATACTTTTATTGGCTATAGAGGTATTAAGGAGGATAATTAAGGTTAAATGAGTTCATAAGGTTTATCCCCAATTCTTTGAGGACACATGTTCTTCTAAGAAAAACATGAGATTTTTCTCTACTAAACCACATTTAATAACCATGTGAGGACAGAAAAATATAGTACTACCAATAACCCAAGGAGAATCTTCTCCAGAAACCAAATATATGGATATCTTTATCTGGGGCTTCTAATGTTAAGAGCAGTAATAAAATAAATTTATGCTGTTTAATTCACCCATCTGTCATTTTGTTATGGCAACCCAAGCAGATCAGTGCACTAGTATTCACTGTGTTTTTTATTTTTGAGTCTTAAACATATATAAATGTATCCCATCATATGTCTGCAATTCTTAAATACCATAACTGTGTTCTTTAAAGAAAACAGCAATGGCTTCAGATTTGAAAAATACATATTCAAATCCTGCCTCCATCTCTTCCTAGTCATGTGATCTTGGCCAAAGCACATGACTTTTCAAAATTAAAAATGACAATACATTTCTACACCATACAACAACATCCAAATGAGAAATATTAAAAATTGGAAGTTTCATTGTCAGCATACCTATAGCATTTGTAACACCTTGATTTGTTCCATTATTATTTTGCTCATCCATTTATCTTTAACTATTTCCCATATTTCTACTCTTCCCGACACTGTGCTTCACCTTGAGTATTGCAGAGGTTAATTTAAAAATTATCCTTTCTCCTAACTGACCTTTAAGCTTGTTTTCTAAATCTAGTTTATTATGGTATAAGTTAAGAGAGAATAATTGAATACATTTAATTTGTATTATGAATGCTCTCATCTGATTACTTACTAGAATTAAATCAAGCATTTCATACACCAAACAATATTAGTTTGCTGAGTGTGTGTGTGTGTGTGTGAAAAAAAAATATATATATATATACACACACACCAGGGATTGAACTTTTGGGGTGTTTTACCATGGAGCTACATCTCCAGTTCTTTTCAAAATTTTAAAAATTTTGAGACAGGTTCTCACTAAGTTCCTTAGGACCTCACAAAGTTGATGAGGATCGCCTCACACTTGGCAATCCTCCTGCCTCAGTTTCCTGAGTTACTGGGATTACAGGTGTGTGCTACAGTACTGAGCTTGAACTTGGAACATTTACCAGAAACTCTGCATTGATGGTAATTAAAGAAATCCCTATTCTCAGAGAGAACAAATTTGGTCATATACAAACACACATATGCTTACAAATTCAAATAGTTACAGTGGCTGAAGAAAAAAAATATGGCATTCGCTGGTAAATTGATGAAGCAGGAGACAATCACACTAAATGAAATAAGCCAGACTCATAAAATCAAGTGTTGAATGTTTTCTCTCATATGCAGAAGCTACACAACAGTGGAGGACCCTGTGAAGTTTAAAGGGATATTAATGTGATTGTGGAATTGTGGAAGAAGATAAAGGGGAATGAAGGAGTGATGTGAAAAGGGAGGAACTACCAAATGAAATTGACCAAATTATGTGATGCATATATATAAATATGCCACAGTGAATTTTTCTTGTTGTGGATATCTATAAATCACTAATCAAACAAAACTATAAATAAATATAAGAAAAATCATTAAAGTAGAGGAAGAGGAATGGGGGGAGGAGGTGGAAAGGGAAATAGGAAATGCTTTTGACTGAATGTAAGCAAATTTATTTCTTGCATAAACAATTGTGTAAAAGTGAAGCTCACTATTACATATAATGCACTAATGAAAAAAACTGTAAAAAGAAAACTAAGAAAAGAAAATAGAAAAATAGTCAGGTTATAATCATAACTTATATCCCTACACTTCATTTCATTTCTGTCTTCTTCCACATCCTTGGCCACATTACTTGCATATCTTCCCATCAAGAGATAAAGCATATTTACTTTTCCTTTGATTTTGATTGTGTCCTTGGAAGTTACTTGAAACTGGGCTTTCTCTCCGATTTTTTTGACATTACATGGGAAGGATAAAACTGAGTTAAACTGCTGGAACAGAACTGCCCCTGTTAAGTTCCTCTGGAAAAACCCAGGTTAGAATAGGCGAATAAGTAGATATGAGCCATGCAGGGACCCAGGAAAATCATTGACTTTCACCAACCCACAATGATTGTTTTTAGCCTCTGCGTTTGGGTTGTTTGTTTCAAAGTAAAAACTATTAATATAGATAGAGAGGAGAGCTCTTCTGAAAGAAGGATGAAAGAAGCAAATCATGCTTGGAATTTTAAGACCTTTCCATACAAATAATATTAATCCTTTTGAGCAAAAATAAGCTGAGAGTATACATACATAACACACTGAGCAAGAAGCAAGTGATAAAAAGATGAGATAGTGAATGGAACAATAATGCAATGCCTTATCTGTGACAATAAAGATATTATTTTAAATCAATAAGTGCATAGAGGAGTATGAGAACTTCAAAACTTGTATTTTAATATCTTATACTGCCTTTTCTACATGTAATTGTCTTCTTCCACAAATATTTAGTGTTACTTATGCAAAGTTCTCCATTTTTTTCTACAGGTATAAGAAAATGTTAGTTTTCAAAGTTGTGCATCAGTCTTCCATATTGTTGTCCTCCACTGTATAGATCCAACAGAACATAGATTGTGGCTATTGAAATTTGAGGTCTGGTTCCTCCTGTTTACCAATTTTTAATCCATTGGGAAATTTGATAAATGCATGCCTCAGTTTTGTCTTCTATAAAGATGAAAACAATTGTAGTAATTAACTGTATAGGATTAATGATAAGGATTAAGTGAATTAGTATATATAAAACACTTTAAAAAGTATGACATAAAATATAACAATACTTGGTAAAGGATGTGTGCCTTTTTATGGCCATATATACTTCTAGGTGTGGTCTGATATATGTATGTGTATACATTCATATATCTCAGAAAAGAAACAATGTATCCCAATATAACCATCTCTAGATCTTACATCAGGTCAATAAAAATGAACTAAAAATAAAAAATTGCTCTCAAAGCTATTATTGCCATTAATTCATAGGATTTTAATTATTTACCTTTTCTAGAATCTCTTTGGTCCCCAGCAAAGAGATCTTGAAAGAGAGTAGGTAACAGAAAGTATAAAGAAAAATATTAGAATTGCACATGCCATCATATTGCTTTTATATTTGTTTCATTTTGATTTGCTTTTTTGTAGTACTTGGAATTTAACCAGGAGTGCTTTACCATTGAAATACATCCCAAAACCTTTTTATTTTGTATTTTTAGACAGTGTCTCCCAAGTTGCCAAGGCGACCTTAAATTTGTGATCCTCTTGCCTCAGGTTCCCATGTTACTGGTATTACAAGCACATACCATTGGGCTCAAATACCATCATATTATGATATGTCAGTAATAGCTCAGATATTGGATTAGCTCATGCATACTAGTTGTATTATATGCCACAAGAACATTTCTGTGAATGGTAAAATATTAGAAGACCTCTGAAAGTTAGGGAACTTAATAAGATAGTACACTTTATTTGTTTTGACTTAATAAAGTTAAACTGAGAAAATGCAATCTTTTGTAAAATAAATATGATTTTAGAGACTCTGATAATGATCCAAGGGTAGCTCTAATTCACATTCAATTATTTAACAGAATTTATGAGGTGATTAATTGTTCTTAGTCCAGGCGACATTATTTGCATACATAAGTTGTAGATATGCACACAGGAAGAAAATGCACTTGAAATTAAAGTAATCATATAAGATTCTAATTTCTAAACTGGAAGTGAATATAGGCTGACACTGAGGGAAGAAGGGAAACTTCTCAGTGTGGTCTAACCAGTCAAAATGTCTTCTAATAAAAGTAATAACAGATAGCTATAACACTCATTTTCTCACCTGTGCATTTCTTATTTGAGCTTTATAATGTGTCATGATACTAGGGTTCATATCTTAATTCTTCATCTACTAAGAAATATAGAAGTACAGAATTCAAAGTATTTATAGACATGGAACTCCAGGGCTTCCTTGACTCCATGCTCCATTACTCTAAGCTCAGAACTTCTGAAGTTGTTGCTTTTTTGTTTTTGTTTTTTGTTTCTTTTGTTTTTTTTCTGTTTGTTTTGTTTCTAAGGATTAATTTTAAATTGAACTAGATTTTCTCCTGAGAAAAATGAAGGTGTACCTTTGTTAGACGAAGTAAAAATGATGCTAGATGGTTAAAATTTAACTGAAATTTCAATAAATCATTTAACAAAAATTTCACAAGTGACTAATTCTATGAGGTTCTAATTTATTGAATATAGATTAGTCTGTAAGTCCAAATTGCTGAAAAGCTTAGACACAATTTATTTTATTTTTTTCCCTACCTTCTTCAATATTTCTTCTCTTAATTTTTCTCATGAAATTCCATGAAGTCATAGAATGTTAAATTCATATACATACATACATACATACATACATATACACACACAATATATGCATATATAAAATAAAATATATACATACACAAGTATACATGTATACATTTATATGGTACATTTGTATTATATGTTGATATGTGTATCACACATATATGTGTATATAGATAAACATATGTGTGTCTATCTGTGTGAATATTATCTGTATCTCCCTTACCTTCTTCCAGAAAGGACTTCACTTTAAACATAGTAAAATGTTAAATGACAATGGAGGATACCAGTGAAGCCAGAATTGGACAGGTAGTTAGTATAGATAGGTAAATCGTGTCAGGTTGGATCAAGGAGGCCAAATCTGAATGAGTAGACAAGTTGAAGATTGTCCCCTGAGAGATTAAATATTAATTCCTTCAGAGCCCTTCCTCCACCCTTATCAAGAACCTGCCCCTGCTCCAATCTGTTGCTAAAGTAACCTATTCCAGGAATTGCCCCTCCCTACAGCTAGCTTTAAGGTTGTTAATGTGTCCTTGACTGCTCCACCCTGCTCTTCCCCCTTCAGCCCACCTGTTTGCCACCTATTGGCCATCCCAAGGAGCATTCCTGGGCCTAGTCATTGAAGGAAGAAAGATAAGGGGAAGAGGGCAGGAGAACAAAGGAAGCCTAGGGCATATAAAAAGGGCAGAACACCTCATTTCTTGGGATATGAGAATATCTGAAGAAGTCTATCTTACCCCTTTTGAAATAAACCTTGCTTTATATGCTTGCCTCAGTGTGCTTCCCTAATGTTCAAACTTCCATATTTGAGGGAACAGAACTCGTCGCCAATAGTCGGCTGTATCACCAGGTCAATGGCAAATGTGCTCAAATGTCTCATGAGTGGAGTTTGAAGATAAGGTTGGAGCAGCAACAGCAGAAAAAGGCCTTGATAAGTGAGCTGTTAGCTTCTATCCATTTTTCTTGGCTGAGCTGTAAGTTTTGTTCCAAAATTTCTGTCAGCCATGTAAAAATGAATGTTATTGGCTCAAAATTTTTAATTTTCAAAGATAGTATGCATCTCAGAGACACAAAAGATACTGAGCTTTTCCAAGTAATGGCTATTTAAATTAACAAACAAAACATTATAATTCAATTCAGGAAATCATTTTTTTATTGGCCACATCAATAAAATCCAAGTCCATGATTCACCTTAAGCCCAAATTAAAAATTAAAACCTAGAATACTACGAGTCTGTGAGTGTGTGTGTGTGTGTGTGTGTGTGTGTGTATTTTCCCACCAAGTCACAGAAAGCTCCATAAAGATTCTGTAAAATTGAATTGCCCTGCAGTGCATACATAGTATCTCCATTCTCTTATGCATTCAAGATTGATCAAAATACAAAAGAATGATAAACAGCTTAAAATCTAAGTTATGAGATTACAGCTTTTTCCCCTTATAATTGAATCTTAACAGTTAGCTAGTTATATTTTTATCCCATCAAATGAGAAAAAACAAGAAATATTAATGAAATATCTTGGTCAATGTTACACAGAAGGGAAATAGATTTGTAATTTGAAATCAAGTAATATATATCTCTATATAGCTGGCACTCCTAACCACTGACGTCTATAATGTCTTTCTGCTTAATCACACACTGATAAAAGAACAAAACTGTAGTATAAAGATAAACATTGGCCATTGGATTTTTTAATGTAGTACCTGCTCATTTCAACATGAATATCTTGAGAGAAATACTGGGAGACTTGGCGATGAATGACTAATATAGGTGTAAGAACTAAATTTAGATCCCACATCACACACAAATAGCTTAGTATTACATCTAGTAATATGTGCTATTGAAAGAAAATTTTAATGTGACAAACTTATAAAGTTCAATAAATTTTGTCTTGGAGAAATAAGTGAAAACATACAATTTTCAAGGTTAATTTTAAAAATTAAATTATGTTGTCATCATATATATATATATATATATATATATGTGATTATTATGACCACTTTAAAAAAATATATCATGGAGAATTTTTTATGTATTTGATATTGAATTCCTTTCTCCTCTATAGAGCACCTAGACTTTGAGACAAATTTTTGTACATTCTTTGTCAGTAATGTCTTAGGTGAGATATCAGTGCTCAATTCTAAAAATGGGGGATGTGATTTCTTAAAGCATTTACTTAATTTCAACTACCTAGTCAAATCATTGTGATTGGATTTGGCACTTAATTAACTTCAGGCCAACTCTAAGAATATATGTACCTTTGGTGATAGGAATGCAAAATATCTTGTCTAAGTGAAAACGAAATATATTCCTTGCTTTTTCCAGTAGAGTATGAAAACATTTAAGTCTAAACTCAAATATGCACAATTGCTAGAATAACAAAAAGCAACATGAGGCTACAACAGTCAAGAAACAAAGATAGCAACAGATAACAAAGAAAATAGCACAAAGAAAATAAAAGGTAAATATATAACAGGCTTCCGTGACTTCATAATCAGACCATACCTGTAATCAAGGGTCTTATGTTTTTAGTGAATATATGAAAGCCAAATTTCCTTATGTTAATTAATTTCTAATTAGGTAATTATATTTTCTTTTATTTAAAAATAAAAGATTCAAATCCTCTCCTCTAATACATAACAGAGTAACCAGTGATAGACTATTCTTTCCACCAACCACTGTGAATCATATGTGCCAGGCTAGGAACCCTAAAATATGAAGAATGTAATAACTACACTAATTTTCTGCCTGAGGTCAATTTGTTAACCAAAGTACAGGGAGAAGTGACCCAAGCAAGGATCACTGTGCTGTAGAGATAGAGATTAGTACCTGGGCAGATTAAATGGCTATAACACATGGGGCAGGGCAGCAGAGAAGAGTAAAGAGAAAAATGAAACTCCCCTAAGTTAGGATAGGGGATATTCCTTTATATCCTTCACTGAGAGTTGGTCTACATATGCAAAGTTTAATATCTCACTGAAGATAAATCTTAGAGAAGCTATAACATGGCTAAGAACAGAACAAAAACAGTCAAGTTCATGTACTGTAGAAGGGTCTTGGAGTTCCAGAGACATGAGCCAAATGTTGCTGCTAACCCTTCAGGGGTTAAAATGACAGCTGTTAGGTAAAAAGTGAAGCACAAGAGAGGATTGGTAAACTGTAGATCAAAGACCAAATCTGCCCCACTAAATCTTACTGTAAACATAATTGTAAATAAATTCACATTTTTCAGTAATGTATTTTCTAAAATCTTAAATATATTGTATTTCTCATTATTATTCTACTATTTGTATTCCCATGCACATGTTAAAATGTTTAATATGATGTTGAAGATCTTTGAGTCTTGTTCAGATTTCTCTAAGCATATGTTTATTTTTAACCTCTTTTACTTGTTTAAGTGCTGTCTGGAAGCTTTGTGTTACAGTGGTGGAATTGTGCAGTTTTCGGAGAGCCATGTGGCCTGCAAGGATGGAAATATTTAATCTGTGACCCTTTACAAAGAAAGTTTTTTGAGCCCTGCCTTAGATATGGCCTCTTGTAGGTTAACTTTACAACCAGAGATATGAAAAATTGTACTCTATATGTGTAATGTGAATTCTAATGCATTTCGCTGTCACATATAAATTTTAAAAATTAATTTAAAAAAAGAAAGGCAAAATCAAAACCTAGATATAATTTGGAAAGGGAGAAGAAGCAGG